GAATACGACACGGTTCACACAGTTTTCCCAAAATGTTTCGCATGTATTCGGCTGCAAGTTCATTATCGATTATGTTCTGATTGTCTATGACACTGGAGGCTGTTGGGGATATTAAGGCATAAAAATTGTATTCAGCGTGTAGCGTTTCCAGCGCTGCTAAGAAATAAATGTGTGCTCACGGCGAGCTAGCAGCTGATTTTAGCTGCGTTGCCATCGTGTTCCTAGATGATAAGGAAGCGAAACAAGTGCTGTTACTGTGGCTACCTAATATCCCCAGCAGCCCCCAGCATCCCGTAGTTACAACTTGGTGCTGCCGCCGCATATCAACATGCGACCGAATACATGCAAACATTGGGAAAACTGTGTGAAACCGTGTCATATTCAAAGAACTTTTTTGAAGAACACATACGATTTTCAGGTAAATTGGTGGTGTCTTATGATAAGGGAGAATCATAGACGAAAACAAAGGTAAAAGTTTTGAATATATTTATTCACATATTGCTTCCTGTTTGTCTTGTTCTTCCCCCTCTCTCTGTCGCTCTCTTTCTGTGTGTAAGTCTGCCTGTCTGTCCGCCCGGCCGTCCGTCCATCTGTCCATCCGTCTGTCTGTCTGTCTGTCTGCCCGTCTCTCTTATTTCTCTTAATTTCTCGCTCTCTGTCTCTCTCTTTCTCTCTTTCTCTCTCTCTCTCTCCCACTTACTCACCTACTCATGTACTCACTCACTCACTCACTCACTCACTCACTCACTCACTCACTCACTCACTCACTCACTCACTCACTCATCCACTCACTTTCTCTCCTTCTCGCTCTCTCTCCCTATTGAAATCTGTCCTCCCTATCGACGTTCGAAACTTGACCTTTATATTCAAATTAGCGATCGATAACTTCAAATGTTATCACCTTACATCCTAAATATAAACACGGCATACGCTCTCGCTCTTTAGATATCCCCATCAATAGAACACGTGCGTGCGTATCCTCTGGATTTCATTTAAAGAAATAAAGACTAACAACGAATGTGATTATCAACTTTTTCCACTCAAATTTTAATTCATACCAAATTATTTTACTATATTATTTTAACGTGCCTATGACTGATCACTCAGCGTACATCGTTACAGACTCATGTGCCAGTACAACGCTTTGCCGATTTTAAGAGGGGTTTTATCCATAATACTATGTAATCTGAGGAAAAGGTCTAGATAACCCTATACTTTGAAATACATGTATAATTTGTTTAAAACGGCAATGCTGCCTACGTTACGTTCAAAGTGCAACTTAAGCATTATTTTAAAATCATTTTAAACCATATTTTAAATTTAACAATTTTTTGTAGTTTGATAATGCTTGCCGGAGAAAACTACAACATTTAAAAAATTCGTATAGCAAGTACGGAATGCTCATAAAATATTTGGCCATAATCACCAAGCTATAACACCACTGTATTAGTCGTTAAAATAACGCCATAATTTGCACTCGACAGTCATTTCAGTACGAGTGATGATATATCAGTGGATGTATTCGTTTATAACATGCGCCCCAGGCAGACTATAGTACAATAATACTCCGCCTTACGTAAGTAATGCGTTATAGGAAAAAAACGTTCGTAACGCGAAAATCCGTAACGTGAATCACGTTTACCCAGTGAGTGGCGTTCTTCCAGAAAATATTCCAATTATTCTCCGACAACTTACAAATATTTTCCCCGGCAGCTGAAGGCTGAATCTGACGGCCCTTTCTCGGGTCACGCTACATACAGCTAGAGCTCACGTATAAGCGTAAAAACAAAACCACGAGTCAAGCAGGTTCAGTCAGGCAGGTCAGGTCAGACTTATAAGTTATAGTGTGGTTTTCCGTGGCCATAAAACACGAGGTACCGTGTAGCAGATGCGCTTCGCTTGTGTGCTAGCACAACGTTAGGATAGCGGTCATGAGGATATTTGATTTTGTGATGAGTGCTCCATTCGACTTGTCTATACTCGTGCACACGAGCTCCGCGCGTGCGCTATTGCATGAGCGCAAATGCACTAGAGTGTGTTTCTCCCCCGTGCATGTAAGCAGTAAGCACCCATCTGTTCACGACGTTTATATGCGTGTCAGGTGTACGTACCCGTGCGGCCGAGTGTGCGTGCGATCATGTGGGTACGAGCGCGTACGCGTGTACTTGCACGCACGCGTGTATGTGCGCACACACAGCCACGTACGTGAATTGGTGTACACGTGTGCGCGAAGGCGTGTATATACGACAGCGCGTATGTTCGCCCGTGCGTGTACTAGCACGCATGCGTATGTGCGCGCATGCTTGTTCGCCGAACCTTCATCACGTTCATCTCCTATAACTCCGCAAAGCTGAGAAACGATTGTTTTGCAGTTTCTCTCACTACTCGCTAATAAATTCTCTTTCTACGAATAACGTAATGTGTATGCATAATCATGTACGCTACCTCCAAGTTTTAAAAATCAATGCGAAAGCTGCAGATAATAAGAGGCATTATTATAAGATGTTTATCTAGATTCCCTCGGTAAACTCTCTCTCTCTCTCTCTATCGTGTAAATCTTCCCGCCGCTCCACGTCTGCTGTACGTGGGGATCAGACCGTGATCCATGCCGGAGGCTCTGCTCCTCCCACAGACCGCTATCTCGGCTCCTTTCCTGTGACTGTCGGATTCGATCTGAGCAGACACAAAGAGGGAAGACAACACCGGAAACCAGTAGACTAAACCCCCGATCTGAGTAGACACAGGCGGAGAATACACAGTACTAGAAATCATTAGTTTGGGCCGGGATGACATGTGCACACATTCTGACGTATTGATCGTCTCGTCATTTAGACCCTTTGCGATTTTATTACTCCCTCACTCCGGCACCATCCGGATATATTTAAGCGTTTATCTATTCATTGCACGTGTTTTCTTATTGCAGTTCAATCTTGCTCTTTGAAATAGCTCTTTATCACGTCGTTAGGAAATACTGCTAGTAGGCGTTCACGGTTTCTGTTGTCCACTATGCGCGGCGTTGATTTCAAAAGCATCATCATGAGATTCCACGCGAAGACTTATATAATTTAATACAAATCTAATATTTATATTGGCCCAGTATTGAATTATAAGTATTTTACGAGCATAACTATTTCAGTGGTCATGTTGCAGTGTGTCGCACGTTGCATGTGTCCCGACCAAGGTTTTTACGCACGTTTTCTTTTTCTGCTTTCGTTGTCGTTGCCATATGCACGCAATCGCCGGAGATGGCGAGGGATTCAGATGAGCACCGATGTAACCGAACTCTTGTAGAACCTTAACTTGACGCATCCTTTTGATGCTCTTCTCATCTACCTTAAAGATGAGCAGATGGCGTTGTTTGACGTCGCGAACGCTTAGAAGTTCTGATATTCACCACATCACGTAGACGGATGACTAGAAATAATTTACACGCGATCATAACTAATGGAAAACGCGCACAAACGCACGAACGCAGGAATACCCGACGAATGCACACCGAATTGGAAATGATAAGAGTTGTGAGGGCGGACGATGCTAACTGGATGCGAAATAGAGACAATAGAGATGACTTCATCTGCTTTCCGTTCATGCATAGTTAGTAGAGGAAGATGGAGATAACTTTTACTAACTATGGTTCATGTAAGCGAGCAACTAAGCTTTCACCAACGAGTCACGTGCGTGATTAGGTGGTAGATGTGACCATGGCCGACCATGTTATTCTATGATGTCATGCAGCACTCCCTCCATGCTTGCTTAGGTGTGAAGCCGGTTAGATTTGAAGGGGACGCTCCACAGCAGTGACGGCAGCAGTAAAAATCCAACACACTCAGAGTGACCGATGAACTTTCTAGCAAGTCCGCGACTCATCCAGACGCGGCTTTGTATGGTCACGAGTAAACACGCGGTTATTACAATCGATATGACGTCATCCAATATAAGCAAGTCTACTCATGGGAGGGTTACAAAATATTTCTGCTGCTACGCACTACAATCCTTTACTCTACTCGCTTGGTGAACTCTCCTTTTAGTTGAAAGCTACGTCGCGATGATGCATGCGATGGTTCAGTTGCAGCATATGGTTGCAGCTCTTCCTCAAGAACCTATACTGAGAACGGAACGGTTATTTTCGGGACGCGTGATTAAACCTTTTTAATTAGCTGGAAACCGAACATACCGGATAGTAATTCGCGGATATAAGTCAACCAGGACACGGGAAATAAAAGTCGAAATTGCGACTTTAATTAGCCGGGACCAGGAAAATAGCACATTATTTCTCTTGGGAAACGGGGAATGGACCCTCCATCCCGTTCCGCTCTATACATGTTTATGCGTGGATAGCGTTTGGTTTGATATTTGATTTTGTTTGTCCTTGCACAAATTTACGACATATATATATATATATATATTATACATCTGATTAGTCTCTAATGCATGATCAGAGCATTGTCTATTAGTGCTGCCATCTATTGCCGGATTGTTACTTTTACTGACACCATTGAAGCAAAACTATCAGTACATTGCACTTTTACTTTTAGTTGGACTGGAGCATTCATGCTTTAAGGAGTGAATAATAGTGATGTTATATAGCCAACCAGTATACATGGATGTCATCCGTATATATCAAGTTGGTGTGTTACTAGTTACTACTAACTAGCCGAGTTCGTCTTGCATCTTCACTTGCTAAACTTTTGTTAAACAGTACTAAAGCTTGCGTAAGTGGTTTGTGAAATTTATACCCGATACCACTCTTGGCATGGTTTAGGAAGATTGGATCTTGGCAGCTTTGTGACAATATCCTTTTTATTGTGAGCTGATTCATGCTGAGCTACCATATTCTAAAAAGGTTCGCGATACAAGACGTGTACGCGAGTTGACAGTAAAATGAAACTCCATACTAAAAATTTCATGTGCAGAAACTTGAGCATGAATGATACCTATTATACTCAACTTATCTATGAACGATGATGATTCAATAATGCACAGATGATAGTACAGCAAGATATTCTAATAGAATTTCAGATTTTATTCAACTGAAAATAATAAATAGACATTAAAGTGGGGAATAAAACACTTTTTAATATTTATAATCCGATTTTCAGGGGTATTTCATCAATCATTATATTTGACCAACTGTGAGATACACGATATAGACAAGTAGGTACGAAGACAAAATTTTCTGTCAATGTATGTCCGTCTCTGAAAAAAATATACACAGTTCCAAAATGTCAATAAAGCAACAAACCCCCTTAATAATGCCTTATTAATGATAAAAGTGACTCTGCCATAATTTTCCCCTTTTACATTTTTTTAAAACTGCAGATCCTACGTACGTAGAAACACACACAAAATAATAGACACGTTCAGAACATTCACAATGATGTATAACATCTATAATCTCATAGGTTGCCTCACACAACCACTAGGTGTACGATGCCGAATCACCTGGCTTGTTGTCTAGCTTGCTCTTGTGACTCTTCACCATGTAAATAAAGTATGTAAGGGCTTCCTTCTCTACCACAGGTATCGTGCGGAAATGCTTCATGAGACTCTGCGTAAAAGAATGAGAAGACATGGAAAATTAAAAAAATGCCCACTCAAAACAATGATAATATGACATATGATAATATCAAGAGCGTATAAATAAAGCCTTCTTTATACGCTCTTGATAATATATAAGATGACATATGATGAATACGTTTAAAAATAGGCTTCGTCGTTTGCATGTCCTGGCTTGCCACTTTGCACATGATTACAGGAATAAACGAGGGATCGACTTCCTCTGTATACCATCAAGAGTGTATTAAGAAGGAGAGCGTACAACGGTGAAATCCTGAAACCATGTTGCAGTATTAGTCGAATTAATAAACTTTCCCGTTTTATTTTGACGATTCTTTGAAGTCTTTTTGATCAGCTGTCCTACCTTGTTAATATAAAATAAGTCGGTTTTCGGCAAAAATACCAGATTTTCACCGCTCATTATCTCAGCGTAGGGGCATCGTAGGGACAAGCGGTTTGTTTTATATTAGCAAGGTAGGACAGCTGATCAATAATACCGCAGAGAATCGTCAAAATAAAACGGACAAAGTTTCTTAATTCGACTAATACTGCAACGCAACATGGTTTCAGCATTTCACCGTTGTACGCTCTCCTTCTTTATATGCTCTTGATAGAATTATGGTGGAAATCTACGCAGGCATGCACACACTTGGGACTTGTTAACTCACACATTATGATGAGTGTCCTAAATTTAGCAGTTACTTTATCGGCCGCCAGACGTATCAATACCAAGACAAATTCAGTTAACAGGGAACACGTTTATATTTTTTATTTAACACTGAAAGTGAACTTACTTTCAACAAGATAGCCAAGTGAAAATGCATTTTGCTAGTGCCAACTTTTTGCAAGCTCTCAGAACACTGATACAGTAGCCCTTTAGCATTTCATCATGAAAGCCATAATAAAAACATGAGGGTAACAACAATTTTGTTTTTCAACTGGTTGTTTAGAAAGCCATGTTTCTACCTCGTAATGAGAAATAAAATGACAGGATACTGCCAGTCTCTGTTAGAATAATTACATTTTAATTATTACTATGATGCAGTTCTAATGTAAATCACATCGCAATGTTTTCAGATATACACATAACAACAAAATGATATTGATCCTGCTGGCCTAAGGCGGAGTTTATTACAGTGCAAACATCATCCACTAATTGTACCAGCAGGGTGCGAAATTAACGAGTCCAGAGTCAAATACTCCCTGATTTACTGTCAGACTCCCTGATTTGACATATGCAGGAGTCCGTGTCACTCCCTGAAAATTCTGCCATACTAACTAGTTCGTTCCAGAGGACGGCCTCACGGAATTACCGTATTTTTTCAGCTAATGTCCAAAGAAAATTGGGCAGACGTGCAACTGCATGAATCTTCAAAATAAGCACATGCGTTATTGTTAATATCTTTAATTTTGAACCTCAAACTACGGACTCTCATTTTGCTGCGGGCTCCCTATTTTTGACGGTAGGGAGTCCGTTGGACTCCCGTGTTCAAAAGTTAAATTCTACCCCTGTACCAGTGATTTATATATTACTATGAAAGCTACTCGATACATAAATTCTAACACAAATCAATCTCTGCTATATCATAGTTATTTATATCATGCACTCATGATCATATCATGTCGTGCTGACTTATATGCGTCAGTTATTGAAGCATATGCTACTAACCTTATGGCTTCACGGCATCAATTAATAAGCTAGTCAAGTTTTCATGGCAATAATTAATGCAATTAAAACTATACCCTGCAGAGCCAAGTCAGGCCTCTATTTCTCACATAACTCATAGAACTTGCTTTAGTATATGCTGTGCCCTAACAGAATGTACTTACATCAGCAAGCTGAGACTTGCTCAGGCCTGGCTGTGTTGGAATTTTGAAGTGCCTTTTGTAACGACGTAATGTGTTCACAGGAAGTTGAAACAGGTCAATCTAAAATAAATACGAAATTTCATCATGATATTATGGCAAATATGATATACCAATAATCTATTATTATTCACTCCTGATATTATGGCTTCAATTGATATTCAATATGAACTCTATGCTATGAATTAAATATAATCTACCTCTTGCAAAAGGGGTAAATAACATTAATATACAACAATGCTACATGTATATTACATGATACACAGGGCCAGCAAAAAATATACCTCTGAAGGAATCATGACAAGGGTTCAACATTTTTAATTTAACATGAGATTCCGATAAAAATATCACTAGTATACTGACTGTAGAAGAATTCATTGTAGCTGTAAATTAGACATGCGGGTACACTTCATTATCATTTTTACATGTAACTATCGCTGGTGCACTTTTACTCTGAGACATGCGCAGCTACTCTAATAATATCTCTATGAATTTTCAGTACCTCTGGAAGATCATTTTCGTGATCCGGGGAACCGGAGCCATCATCACTGTCTCTTCGCTTCCGCTTGCTACGCATGCTCTGAATGACGCCCTTGTGGTAGTCACAGATGTAAATGTGTCGGACCTGCGGGCAACCCTTACTAAATGTACTTATCTGTCACTTATAAGTGACGTGTATGTCTCCATGTCAAATGCATGTCAAGTATAAGTGACCTATATGTAACTTAAAGTAACTTTACGTGTTTACATACTAATTAGCTTGAAAATATGTAACGAGCTACGAGTAATTGATCAAGACTTGAAAGTATTAACATATTTTGTATTTTTTTTAATGTTTGCACTGTACTTACACTATTGTCGAGATAAAGTTTAAGTTTTTTCTGTGTGACAATCTTTTGTATGCGTTTATTGTAGCAAGCGTTTGCTGCGGGTCTTGCACATCTTGAGCCGTTGTCCACAAGACAGCAGATCTGACCATGTCCTGTTTTATCATCATCGTTTCCAGCATTGTAACCATTCATTATCTAAAAATAAAAAATAAAAAGTGTACGTATTGCATATATTCAGGAGTAGATAAAGGGAAGGAGTGTGACTTCAATAAACAAGGGAAATTCGTCATTTACTAGCCTTATAATACCTACGATTTACT